GCTTTACACAATTGATGTGTGTATGGATTGTGATAAGAGTTGTATGAACTCCTAATAAAATGATTTTTAAAAAAAAAGACAGGAAGTCCTGCCTTTGAGGAACTCAGGAATTATGATTTTAAAAAAAAGAATTTCCCCTCCCCATTCTCTCCTTGCCAGCCCCTTTGCCATGGCCTGGATCTCGGGAAGTGGTGGGGACAGTCTGAAGGAGGGGGAGCAAAAGTGTGTGTCTGGGTCTGGTTACTGTCCTCCCCGGGGTGACTGTTCTAGAGTGGCCTCAGGATATATGGGGGCCACACCATCTCTGCACCCCAGTAAAGGTGACCCCTGCAGTCTCAGCTGTGGAGAGGGTGGCGCTGTGTGATGCTCAGGCATCTCCCCATCCTAAAGGCTGCCTGATGGGAGGGGGGGGAGGGGCAGGGGAGGGTTCTGGCTCTGCCCTTCCTGCGGGAGCCATGCTAAGATGCCAACCTCAGGGACTTGGGTTGGGTTCTTTTGATCCTGAGTGCTGTTCTGAGAGCAGAGGACAACATGGGGCATTGTCAATAAACCAATTCTGAGTCTCAGCTCCCTAGTCCTGCTCGTCCGTGCGCATGGGCTGTAGGGAGCGAAGGACATGGTTGGGGGGCTGGGTGGGGCCGGGCCGGATGGCAGGGACAGGATTCAGGACTGTGCAGAGCTGATGGAGGAGGAAACAGGAGCCACGTGCCACCCTCCCCTTCCTGCTCCCTGGGCCCTTGTCTGTGCCTCGGTCGGAGGGAGCCCCCGACCCCCTGCACAGGTCACTTCAGTGTCCTTATCCCACTGCCCCTGCACCTCAGAGCAGTTGAGACTTGGGGTCTGAATCAGGCAGATACCTAGGCTCATGGAAAGGTCTGGGAGAAAGGCTAGGATTTCTGGTGCCTCCCCAGTCCCGGAACCAGCACAGCCACAACCACAGTCACTTGCAGAGGCAGCTTGCTTTATTAGGTGTCGCCCTGGGTGCCGGGGAGTCCGGGTGGGTGCCGCCGCCACAGCACTGGGGACACTGGGCTCTCACAGTGCCCCCTTCTTCTGGGCCCAGGCAAAGAAGATGCCCTTGACGTCATCCACGCCCGTCCGCAGGTGGGCGGGCATGGTGAAGGTGCGCAGGTCGCGTAGCTCATAGCCGCTGCGCAGCAGGGCCTCTCTCACCTCCTGCTCGCGCATGGGGACCACCACCAGCCTGGCCTCCCCAGCCAGGTACCAGGACTCCTCCAGGGCCCCAATGAGCAGCAGGTGCCCCCCAGGCCTGAGTAGCGTGGTGATGTGGTCCAGGGCCCGCTGGAAGCTGGCCAGGTCTGGGCTCACCGCCTCCAGGCAGAAGGTGGAGACCAGGGCATCGGCAGGCAGGGGTGCCAGGCTCCCAGCACCCAGGGGCTGGGGCTGGTGCACGTCGATGGGCAGGACGCGCTTCACCTTGGCTCGTAGCTGGCGCTCCTTCTCCTGCCAGGACTCACTGTGGGGGGCACAAGGCAGGGCCCTCGTCTGGGGACCACCCACACCCTGCCCAGATGCCTCCCAGGGAAGCCCCTGCAGGCGGTCTTACCCCTTTCCCTCAATGAGGCAGACGTGCTGGCTGTACTCGCTCCAGTTGAAGGCCCCTGGCTCCTCCCGCAGCCAAAGCCCCAGCTCCTGGCGGTTCACCTCCAGGAAGTCCGTCAAGGTGATGTCCTCAAAGTGGGCACAGGCGCTGAGCAGCTGGTACACGGTGGGGCCTGAGCCGATGTCGATGAGGGTGCGTCCAGACACCTCCCCTGGCCGGGGCAGAGGAGGGGGTCCTGGAGGCAGGCCTGACGGCCGCCCCTCCCTCCCCAAGGATTTCTTTCTCTTGCTCACTCGCTACTGTCTCTGGAAAGACTAACATTGACAATCTAGGCTGCTCTTGCGTCTCAGGTACGTGGGGATGAGGGGGGTTGTCGGACCCTGGGGTCTCCCCATCCCTCCCACACTCCTGTCCCCATTCTGTGGCTCTCAGGTCTGGACCTGTCCATCCTTTCTCGCGGGGGGTGGTTTCCTGTGTCCTCGGGCCCTGCCCCTGTGTCCCCGGTCCTTTCCCCCTCCCCGGCTCTGGGCTCCCAAGCTCACCGGTGGCGAAGGTCTGCGCCAGGCAGCGCAGCTTCCAGGGGCCGACGCCGTCCGGGCGGCTCAGGTCCCCTCGAGGCGGTGCGTAATTGTTGCGGAGGTAGGCGCGGGGCTCGAAGCGCCCGTAGGCGGAGGCGACAGCCACCGGGCCGGGGTCCGAGTCTGGGGCCGCGTCCGCAGCGGGGCTCAGGGCGGTGGTGCTCATGCTCATGCTGCTCCTGCGAGGGCCTTGTCTCCCGCCCACCCCATCTCCGGACCCTTATATCTACGGCGGACCCCCGTGCTGCTGGGAGGGGACTGAGCGATGGGCCGCCCCAGGCTGCGAACGTGCTTCCTGAGCCCATCCATCTCCCTTAGTGTCAGAGCAGAGGACACAGGGACAGACCCCGCCCCCGCCAGCCCCCATTCACCCTCATCCCATCTTGTCTCATGTTCTAATTGACCTTTTAACATGTCTGGGGTTCCAAGGCCCCCTCCCTTCCTCTAAGCACTTTCCTCACACCCACCTCACTTCCTTAGCAACACCCCCCCAGCCCCCTTCCAGATCCACCCTTACCTGCCCTGTTCTCCAGTGACACCCCCCCCCCCACATGTACGTGCGCCGCCTCCACAGTCCCCAAAGGACAGTCCGTTCTGATCACGGGCCCATCTCCCCAGGCCTGGCACATGCCTCCTGCCCCTCCCAACTGATGGCAGTGGCGATAGGGCAGGCTGTGGAGCAGGGGCTGATGCACGTAGCGTGGGGGCACGGGGTGGGGGGTGGTGTGCTGTTCTTTCTCAGAAGCTGAAGCACAGGACCTGGGTGAAGGCAGGACGCAGGCACGGACTCTGGACGGCCAGGGTCACAAGGGGTGGGGGTGCGCAGACGGGACTTGGAGACTGGATGTTAGGGCCCAGGGAATCTTCACAATTGACTTAAGTTACCCCATTTTGAAGAGTTTAAAGGTCATCCCCCATCCTAAAAGAAAAATGTTATTTTAGAAAAATAAGTTGTAAAAGTAAAACTATGTTATCTCTAGCAGATGAAAAAACAAGTCGTAAAAGTAAGCCACTGTGACCTTGCAAACTGCCGCTTGTAAATGTCAGCCTAAAAGTTTTACAAGGGCACCTGGACCAAGATAAGCTGGGCAGGCTAAACTGCCCACATCCTGTTATCTTGTGCAGACACCCTTCCCCATTCCTTACACACACCCCTCTCCTCACTGGTTTTAAGTGTATAAAAGGACAAATAACCTTTGCCGGTTGCTTCAGTGTTTGGACCCTGCGTGGCCACGCTGTAGCCCAAATCCGGATTTGCTCTTCTCTAACCTTTGTCTTTTCTCTAATAAACCTTTGCTCTCCTCTAATAAACTTTTGCTTTGTTACTTTGCAGCTGCTTGTGGGTCAGTGGTCTTTTGTTGGGCGCGACTCCGTAAACACTGGAAATCTGGGATCCAGCCGTCTGGAGCTTCCGCTTCCCTCTCCTGGCCTGGCCTGAGGGGGTCTTTACTTGGCCTATCCTGGGGCTGCCAGGCGGCCAGCATCTCCCTTCCTGTCCCCCAAACACAGGGCAGATGTTCCTGGTATTCCTGGAGGGGGTAAGCTCAGTCAGGTGCCCCTCTCCTGAGGTCACCCCTGCCCCCCACTACCACCTCCTCCAGAGCCCAGAGAGAGCTTCTCCTTGTTGGACTCTGAGTCATCAGGACAGCTGCAGGGGTCACAGACAGGAACTTGACCCCATCCCCCACCCGCCAACCACCCAGGGCAGGGAGGGTGGAGCTCCCAGGCCCAGCCAAGGATTCTGTCTGGATCCGGAGCTGAGAGGCAGGTCAGGCTTGGGTCACTGACCCTGTCCACACCCTCTGACAGTCCTGGGTGCCAGCTGGCCTGCTGAGCTCTGCCTAGTGCCAGGAGGCTGGGCACAGAGGCCAGGCCTGGGCAGCAGAGGCAGGGAGTGGACAGGCACTAGTCCTGTTTACAGCTCTGTCCCCCACCCCCACCCCCACCCCACCCCAAAGCAGGAGGTGTACCAGGAGTAGTGCCATATTTAGCTGAGGCAGAGCCTGGCCCCTTCCCAGAAGTGGGCACGGAGGACAGCAATGGGCTGCACCCCCTGCTTCCCCACGAGGATAAACAACAGTCTGAACATGACTGAGCATTTATTGCAGTGCTAACAGAGGGGCTGGGGGCTCCACAGTGCCTCCGTCCCTCGTCATGACCCCCTCCCTTATGTCTTCACCAAGTCTCCTTTCCAGAGGCCTCTCACAGTGTCCTTCTCTGAAGGTGACACCTGGGCCATGGCCACTCTTCTCAGGAAGCTCTCGCCCTCACCAGCATCTTCTGTCCCTTCTCCTGGGGCTGGGAGTACTCAGCAGTGCTGGTCCCCACCTCTCCACCCTCGGCACCCATCGTGTCTGCTTCTCTCCCTTTGTTTGGGAGCTCAGGGGACCTGGGCACCCAGGCCTCTGGCTCCTTCCTCCCACAGTCCCCAACCCTGGGCAAACTACAAAAGCATCCGCACCCCTCCCCTCCATGCCTCTAGCCAGGAGGGGCCCAGGTCCCAGCCGGATCAGCCCCTCTGAGCTTCCTGGGACAGGGAGCGGGACAGGGAGCGGCGGAGCGCGCCAGGCTTGCTGACCGGCACCACGGGGGGCAGCTGCTTGGTGATTTCGGCCACATCCTGGCGGTCCACACACTGGCCACCGAGGGCCGCCTCCAGTGCCAGCAGCTCGCGCAGCTGGACGGGGGTGTCCTCGCGCTCCTCCTGGGCAGCACCCAGCTTGGAGGGGGTGAAGATGGGCAGCGGCAGCACCCGCTGGTAGGGCAGCTGGTACTCCTGCAGCCCAAGGCCCAGGATGCCCATCCGCATCACCAGCCAGGGGGACCGCTGCACCAGAGCCTGGCACTGCCCCTGCCGGTGGTAGGTCTCCCGTCTCATCGCATCTTCCTCGTGCAGGGAGCAGCTGAGGGAGACAGGGCGGGGTGAGCCCCTGCCTGCAGCGCCCTGCCCCCACCCACAGGCTGGCTGGGGGCTCCGGGCTGGGGGTGTTCCACTTTTCTCTCCCCAGTGGGCCTATTCCAGCCTCCTCTTGTTCATACCCTGGCCTCTTAAGCGGGCAATGCCCTAGGCCCCTTAAGTGGCTGGCTGGCACTCACCCTTCCTCAGGCCGCGTGGACAGTGTCAAGTCCTTCCATTCAGCCCAGAAGGCCTCTCGGCGCTCGCTGTCCTCCTCGCTCACCTGGCAGTTCAGCTCTGCGGTGGCCATGCTGTGCCTCCCACCTCTCTGCTCAGCCCTGCTCCCCCAGGCCCTTTAAATAGCCCCCGCCCCTCCTCCAGGGGCTATTTTCAGCCCCTCTGGCGTCAGATGCTATAAGCAGAGCCAAGACTCACTGATGGGGGTGGGGGTGGGGGTGGGGGCCTCTGGGCCTGGGGTAGGGATTGTGGTACCTGGACTTTGGCTGCCCCCAGGTCAGAGGTCAGCTTCTGAATGGCTTGAGCTGCCTGTATGGGGGTGGGGGGTCCTCAGAAGGTCACCTCCAGGGATCCCATTACCCCTCAGACACCATTTCAGGGCAGACCCATGTCACCCTGGCACTGCCCTGTACCCCACCCCTCCCCTGGGCTGGCGCCTGTCAACAGGGCAGGAAACAGTGAGAGGTGGCGCCCACCCTGAGCAGGCGCAGCACCAGATCCTGCCCTAATTCTCCCAGCTCAGCCTGGGCCCAAGGACACATCCTGCAACCTTGCCCTCAGGGACGGTACCACCTCTGCCTCAGCATCTGCATCAGAGCCTCCCCCCCCACCCCCAGTTGCAAGTTACTCCATGCCTGGACCCCAGACCCCCACCTGTCTTGTTTGCCTTTCTCACGGCCAGTGGGGTGGAGGGGCAGGTGTGGGAGGCAGCTCCCCGCTCTCGTCCTGATACCAAGTTAGGGCAAGATGGGAATCTAGTGGCCCAGGAGAGTGGCAGTCAGGTCCCAAGTCAACCATCCGTGAGCTGTGCGACCAGGGGCTGGTCCCTGGGGCTCTCTGAATCTCACTTTTGGGTCAGTGTTCAAACAGAAGAGCTGCCCAACCCGAGGCCCCCTGAGCACCGGCTGGCTCCCACTCCCAGCATAGGAAGTGGCCAGCACAGAAGGGTGTGTTAGCTCAGGGAGAAAAGCTGGATTGTCCAGAGGCAGATGAGCGGCAGGGAGCCACGGGAGCTTGGCTGAGTGGACACAGTGAAGGGCACCAGCAGAGGCCATGACTGGAACGGCGATGGCCAGCAGTACTGGCCACAGGATGCCGACCCTCCCGCTGAGGCTCACCACTCTGGCAGACCCAGCCCTACTCACAGAGCAAGCAGGGCGGAGGTGCCAAGGGCACACTCTTACCACGGATCCCACTCTGGATTCAGAGCAAGTTGGTTCTTCGGGCCAGAGCAAGGGGCGGGCTCGGCGTGGCTGTGCCATGGGTGCCATGGGATGAAGACCCGACTGCACCAAGCAGAGCCGGAGAGTCCCTAGGAGCCCCAGTGACCCTTGTGGGCACGGCACTGCCTGGTCTCTCCCTGCACCCCCAGGGCTACCTCGAGGGTGTGATTTCAGTTCAGTCACCCCAAAGTGGAAGCTTTTCAACACGGTGTGGCTGGATTCCAGGAACTGGCTCTGCCCAGCGGTGACAAGGACATGTGTGTTTGTGTTCTGTGCTGGTCTTGCCCCCAACCCCCAAACCTGCTAGCCCTCAGCCTCCCTCCTCCCTACCTAGTTTCAGCAAGTGAGGCACGGGGAGGAGCTACTGTTCTGTGTTCAGGCTTTTAATTGACTCAAATTACAAAGATTCCCCCAAGAAGTCCTGGAAGGGAAGTGTGGGACTCAGGCAGATCCCCCACCTCCCCTGGCCACCCTGCTCCCCCACAAGTGCATGTGAAAAGGGTCCCAGACCCTTTAAATAATCCTAAAAACTGTGAAGACACAGGAGAGCCAGGCTCCCGATCCCTCCCAAACCTGCTACTCCAGCCCTGATCCTGCCCCTGGCCCAGCCAGCCTGCAGACCCCACAGGAAGCAGAGTGCTGTGTAAACATCAGCAGGGCTGACCCCAAACTCCTCAGCGGCTGCCTGGGCACAGTGTGGCTTGGGTTGGGGTAGCTTGGGGCCAAGGCGCTGGCATGGGAGGGCCTTCTTCTTCCTCCACAGGAGAGCGGGCTTCTGTGGGCAGCGGGAAGCCCGAGCGACCACTTCTGGCTGTGGCAGGACCCTGGCCGGCAGGGTGGCTGAGAAGCCATGGCTGCTATGCCTGGGCCACCAGCTCCGTGACGCGCTGCCGCAGGTGGACGGCAAACTCAAACATGGTGGCCGCAAGGCTCTGGTGGATGAGGTACCGAGGCAGGCGGCCCTGGGGAGGGTGGGAGGAAGTCACGCGGGAGCTGGCCCTCGCAGGGTCTCCCCATCAACTGCCTGCACCTGGAGGTGCAGATGGGCATCCTGCCCGGGCCAGCCTCTTCCCCAGCAGGCTGGCCTGGAACCTGAGGTCAGGTAGGGAGGAGGCACACGCCCTCCATTGGTATCCGCAACATGACCCCAAATTTTAGCAAAAGGAGGCTAAGAGACTGGGGTGGGGTGAGGGTTGCCTGGTGGGTAGGAGGCCCCCTACATTATAGAACACAATCAGCTGGCAGCAGAGGCCCAGACCCCTCCACCCCTGGCACCTCCCTCCCTGCCCTCCCCACCTTGAGATCCGTATTGAGGACCCAGATGAAGGTGCACACCCGGGGGTTACTGGCCGACTTGAGCACGACGAAGCCCCCAGGCCCATTCTCTCCCCTGAGGAGAAAGCAGCACATCACACGGTTGGCAGAGACCTAGGCGCCGCAGGGCCCCTAGGGACTTCACTCTCATCCTGGCTCAACCCAGACCCGGGGGGAGGGGAAGGGGAGCTGCCAGGCCAGGAACTCACTTCGGGGGTTCTGTACCCTCAGCCCACCAACTGAGGGTCGAATACTCCACAGTCTGCTGATGCCTGCAGAGCCCCATGGTGGCGGGGAGCTCCCCGCTTTCCTGGCCCTCACCTGGGGGGTTCTAGGTCAGCTGTGGCGGGAGGAAGCGGCTCCGTTGGCCTGCCTCACCCCAGCCCCACTCAGGGAGGGTGCAGTGCTGGTGGGCTCCAGGACGGGGAGCCTCCTCGGCAGGCAGCCAGGACTGGACCCAGGACTGGGACAGGATGCCTAGAACCCCAGGGCCTCTGGATTCTCCCCAAAGCCAGCCCGCTTTAGAGAGAAGGGGGTTGCCTTCCAGAGAGGCAAGGGGCCTGTCCCTAGTCCCCCAGCGAATATGCTTGTGCTGGAGCCCCAGGGAGGGAGTAGGAAGACTAAGCAGTGAGCGTCAGCGCATAGCCAGGAGGAGACAGAAGGAGGTCTAAGAGGATGCCCAGAACAGGCTGCAGGAAGACAGTAATGCCTCCTCTGTGGAGGGACCTTGGGGGTCTTCAGGAGAAGGCCAAGATAGTGGGGACAATGTGAGGAAGATGATAGGGGACCCAGGTTTCCTTGGGCAGGAGACAAAACCCCAGAGCCTGGTGCTCGGAGCAAGAAGCCCAGTCCCTCCCCGACAGTACTTCCAACACCCCCCTCCCCCCATCACCACCTGGTCTCCCCTGGCCTGCTGCCCAGCCTCGGCTCCAGACCCCAGCAGATAGAGTGGCGAGATTAGCAAGATTAAGAGCCTGGAGGGACAAAGCCCAGCGGGGCAGGGAACAGGAAGGTGGACTAGGCAGGGGAGCCCAGCTATACACGGTGTACCCTGCTCTGTCCTCGCGGCCAGGCTCACCGGACGTATTTGTGTGTTGGGGGCTTGGCGCAGTGGGTGGTGGCAATGCCGGAGGACAGGTACCGGTCTCTGCGCCGCTCAATGCGCCGGGCATTGACGAAATCCCTGGGGAGGGAGGGTTCCATGGGCAACCAAGGCCAAACCCAAAACCACAGGGCAGGGGGGACGGGGCAGGAGAGGCTGGGGGGTACTTGGCGGCAGGGGCTCACCTGGGGGAGACCACACCTCCTGCAGCCCCAGCTGACACGTCGTAGGAGACCACGGTGTTGTCTTCCACACGCTGTAGGATCTGAGGGCCAGCAGCAGGGAGGTGTGAGGCAGGCCCATGTCCAGAGACCCAGGATACTCCAGACCGGCATCCTTTCTCCCTCGTGGCCCTGGACGTGATGCCCATCACCCCCACCCTACAGAGCAGCCCGGTTCCAACCCAGGTACCCTGGGGGGAAGTGGCCATGCTGGGCTGACCTGACAGGCGGTCACCGTTGAGTTCCACAGCACCATCCTCTCGGGCTGCAGGATCACCTCCTGGTAGACCAGCTCAGCAGGGCAGTTCAGGAAGGCCTAGGGCAGGGGGTGCCGGAGGCCCCACTCAGACACACCGCCCTGCACTGGGGGGTGGGGGGCAGCCTAAAGCAGCCCACAAGGAACCCCCAGGAGACAGCAGCTCCCTGCACGCACCTTCAGGATAAATGTCTTGCCGTGGAAGGGCACCTCGATGGTGTACACCATGTCCCCATAGTCCTGTGCGGGGAGAGGGCTGGCTGGAGGTGTGGGCAAGGGGACCAGGCAGGGGCTTTGAGGGTACAGGGTGGGCCCCTCCAGGGCTTGGAGGACCCGCAGACACCGTTAAAGAGCACCGAGTCTGACAAACAGTCGGGAACCAGGAGAGAACAGCTGGTGCTGCCAAGTTGAAAGGGCCAAGTGCTGCTGCGGCTGCAGGGAAGGGGCTGTGCCTCCAGGCTGCCAGGGCAGCAGCAGGCAGCTCAGCTGGAGAGGGGGCTCGGAATGCGGCCCCTCTGGTTTCCAAGCTCTGGGGCAGCTTTTCAGGTAACCTCGTTTTGCTCAGGAAACCAAACACCCAAACGCTGGGCAGAGGTCTGGCTGCCCTGAAGCCTGGGGCCCAGGGGACAGCGCAGGGCGGTAAGGGGTCCAGGGATAGTTCCTGGGGCAGGAACTTGGCTGAGCCTTGCAATCCCTGGGCTCCTTGCTCCACCCAGGGGAGAGCAGCCAATTACGTTACTCTTCTCGAACGTCCAGTTCTCTTCCTGGGCCAAGATCTGATCCACCACGGCCATGGCCTCTTTCCCCTGGCGGATGTACTCCCGCTCCTGACAAGAGGTGGAGGGGGTGCAGAAAGGGGTCGGCAGGGAGCCCTGCCCTTTCTCTGGGGGCTGCATACCCACAGGAGTCACCCACCCCTCAGAGGCAAGGCCCAGGTTGGTCTCCCTGTGCCCTGAGGCTAGGAGGTGTGGCTGCTTCCGGTCCCAGGCACGTGGTAGCCACAAACACTGGCAGGGATTCAGGCTGCCCTGAGGGAGCCCCTGCTGGGAGGAGGCCCTTGTCCACCCTAGCTCAGCCCAGCACCGGCCCTCCCTGGGGCACCTGTTCCAGGGTAGCGTGGGGGTGGGCAGCCAGGTACCTGGGCAGAGAAGCTTTTCTTTGCAGTAACTTCTTCATCTGATTCATCATCCGAGCCTGCAGGGAACATGATGACAATGGGAAGGGGAGGGAGGGGGCGGGTGGCAATGGGTGTGTGAAGATGGGGGTAGGTTTGGAGTGTGGGGGAGAGGGCTGCTGGCGCTCCCCTGGGAGCCCGGGAGAAGTAAGGGGAGCACAGGCCCAGCCTACCTGCTCCTGAGAGAGCCCCTCCCTGAAAGCAGTCAGCCCTCACCTGCAAAAGATTCTGGAGGTGAATAGAACCGGCCCTCAGACAGAGCACCAGAGAAGAGAAGGGGTCCTCGAGCGACGGCGGTCTGGGCAGCAAGGTACCCTGGGGGAGAAGAGGCCAAGGACAGCCGGGCCTCAGAGTCTAGGCCGCCACCCCAATCCCCAGACGCTCCCTCTGGGTGTGGCAGACTGCTCAAGTTGGCAAGATGGCGCCGAGTGGCTCTCGGGCCTGCAAGTCGCCCGTCGGACATGGTGACCCCTGGTCCCCAGCCCAGCACTCACATCGCTCCTCCTCGGCCTCCTGGGGCAGGACTTTGAAGTCAAGGAACCAGGTCTCCAGCCAGGCGAGGACAAAAGAGACGATGGGGAGCAGGTAGCCGAATGCCCCTTTGCTAAGCAGCTGTGGAGGGGCGAGGCTGAGCTCCCTGCCAGGGAGGCCCCCCAAACCCAGGGGCCCTCACTGGCACAAGCTGCTCTGAGCTGCATCGTTAGTGTGACAGCAGGATAAACTGAGGTCAGGCTGGAGGAAGGACTTTCTGACTCTTGTAGCTGCAGGGGCGGGTGGGGGAAGCAGAGAAGGAGATCTCCTGGAAGTCTCAAGGACCTCCTCTCACCCCAGCTCTGACAAGAGGCAGACGCAGACCGTGATTCTGAGGAATGGTTCCTGTGTAGGGAGGCCCCACCCGGGGGCAGATCCCCACAGACCCGGCCAGGCGACTGGGAGCCACTCACCTCGGAGAGGATGACTTTGACGATGAGGAAGGCACTGGACACCAGGGTAGTGACCTGCCCGGGGGACGGAGGGGAGCAGAGACTGGGAGTCAGTCTTCCTGCACGCCGCCCTTCACCGACGCCGCCTGGGCCAAGGGCTGCCGGGACAGTGGCTTCTTACCGCAATCACCCACCAGTGCCGGAGCCGCAGCACGGCATAGCCCAGGAGCAGCCCCGAGAAACGGAAGAAGGCCAGGACCTGGAGGAGGGGCACCAGGCATCACTGCTGACCCCCACTCCCACCCCCCAACCCACTGCACCAGCCCTCTGCACATCATGTGCACCTGGGGCCTGGGAGGGCCAACCACCCCCTCCACTCCCACTCCCCACCCACCAGGAGACTTCACTGCACAGGGTATCTGCTGACCCTCTCCCAGCCCATCTCCTCCAGGAAACCCTCTCAATTAACCCCTCGTCTCCTCCCCATGGTTGTCATTGCTTCTCCAGGGACACTTTGGGTGTCACTTTCATGGACAAGGAACCTTGCCCCTCCCACTGAAGACGTGGCCTTGTTTAGAGGTTGGGGGCTTCTTGAGGAGAATCTCTGAGGGGTGCTACTGCCCCAGGTCACTCACAAAGATGTCAAAGAAGGAGGTCTTGAAGTTGTAATGGAGGATCTCCTCGGCCAGGTTCTTTCGGATGCCCGTGTTAGTCTGGAGGAGACAGAGGAAGAGGACTGCAGGTAGAGCCAAGTCCCCTGGCTGCCTGGCACCTTCTAGGACCTGGAGGAGCCATCACCCACAGCCCACCCACCAACAAGTTCCTGAAACACCAAGAGAACTCAGCCAGAGGCCCCAGAGCTGTGGCATACCCGTTCCTCTGAGGGTCCCGGCAGCCCTGGACCAGCCCTTGAATCACTGCCCCTAGGACAGTCTAGGGCTCAGAAGCGGGAGCTCACAGCGCCTGCACAGGGAGGCCGAGCTGGAAGCCAGGCGCTGGGACCTGCCACCCACATAATTTCATCTCCTTCCCACCAGTGAGGCTTCCCATCTTTCCAGCCAACAATCCATCGAGTGATGGGCCAAGGGTGGGCAGCAGTGTCAGACAGAGCCCCAGGTGGCAAATCAATTGATTAGGTTTGTGCTTAATGGGCAGTATTGATCGTGAGGCTGGAATGGATGTGGTGACAAGTGAGCACCGCCTGGGCCTGCCCCAGAGCCCTGTTCCATGGCACATACACCACCACCACCACCACCCCCGACCTCCCTCGACCACAAGGTGGTCTGGCCTGGAGAGCACTCACTCCTCCCCGATCTCAGGGCCAGCCCACAGCAGCAGAGACCAACTGGGGAGGGCACGGAGGTCAAGGACCTGGCTGAGGTCACAGTCAGCAGGGGGCTAGGGCAGCACCAAGCCCGAGGGCCTGCTTGGCTGGAGCCAAGGGGCCAGACTGCACCCCCTGAGAGTAGGCTGGGCACTGCCCTGGGCAGGGGTGCTGCAGACCCTGCACCAAGGATCCCAGAGAGCCTGGAAAGGCCCTCCCTCCACTTTCAGAAAAGAGCCCAATCCACAGCAGGGGCTCCAGGGCAAAAGCTGCTACAGGCTGAACAGGAGGTGCTCGGCGCAACTCCAGGTGTCTCCACTAGAGGGCCGGCAGGCCCAGAGCCACAGGGAACTTGGGTGCCTGGTTGCATCAGAGACTGGTTTAGGGGCCCTGAGCCTTTTTCGTCATCAGATGAGGAGGAGGACCGCTGCTCTCCTCGTCCGACTCTTTGCTGGCCTAGGTATGAACCCCCAGGAGCAGCTGCTTCCAGGTTACCCGCCCCCAACTCGGCTGGTTCCCAGGCGGGCCCCACTCACATTCAGCTCGATGATCCAGAGCAGGGAGATGAAGAGGAGGTCAAAGGTGACAAAGAGGCAGAAGGTGCGGCGGACGTCGGAGATGGCCCGGCGCTTCTGGGGAGGCACCGAGAAGCTCTGGCTGTGGGACAGTGAGGAACCCAGGGAGGCCACGGCGGGCAGGCTTCGCTCCAGGTCTCGGGCCAGCTCCCCGGGCAGCTTGCTCATCCTGGGGGCCCCCCACTTCAGGGTGGGGTGGGCAAGGCCTCAGCGGCAGGGCTGGGGGCAAAGCAGAGTAGCTGGGTCACGCCCTGCACAGCAGGGTTCTGGGGGCGTGATGGACCTCTTGCCATCCCGCCTCACACAGACCCCTCCCTGCCCTGTCCCACAGCCGCCTGCGGGTGGGGTCTGCGCAGCCTCCCCTCAGAGCCCAGAGGAACCATGGGCCAGTCTGCCGGGGCCTGGGGCTGGGGTCCCTCTGCTGAGCACCAGCCCGCTTCCCTGGGGCCTGGAGCTCAGCCTGCCCACCCCCCAAGCCAGCCTAGTGGTTTAGCCTCTAGGTCCTGCCCCCACCCCACCCCCACCCGCAGGAGGAGAGGGCCCCAAGCTTTGTTCTTTGTTTCCAAGCACAAAGCCCCATGCCCTGCCAGCAGCCAGCCCTGCCCTCCCAGCCCTGATACATGGCAACTGGGAGGGGCTTTTCTGGAGCAGTGTCTGTGGTCTCTGGGACAAGGAGGGGGCTGGGGGTGGTGGTGCAGATATGGAGGAAGACCACCCTGACCTAGGTCGAGGGCCGACATCTTCCCACTGCAGCCACCAGACCAAACCGCTGCAGGCCTTCTCTCCCCTCCCAGTGCCCACGTGCCCAGGGCAGTAAGCACCTCCTCAGCTCGAGGCCCAGGCCCTGTCCTCGGGCAGCTCTGCCCACAGCCCTGGTTGTGGGGAACAGAAGGATTTCTCTTAAGTTGTCTCCCCAAAATATATGCCAGACTTAGCTTGAGAATGACTGTTCATTAGGCAGGGAAAATAGGTCAGAGGTTGTTCTCCTTAACACCAGCCATCTAGAACGGCCAGACTGTATAGTCTGACTCACCCCAAATAGGACCTGTTCCTTTCAGTTACTGTTCCCTTAAAGCAGTGCCCATAGGCAAGCCCAGGGCCACTCTAAGATGACTAAGCCTAGGCTACTATCTTGCCACGCATGCCCCCCTATTCCCTCCTCTTACTATTGCACATTCACCCCTAGGTCATCCCCCTCCTATTGCTTGTATTG